AAACTTACCTAGGAGGAAAAGAAGGTAAATAGTTCTAGCTTAATTTTTTTTAAATCAGAATTTGAAAAAGCTCCCTGACTTACTATTTTGTTTCTGTTTTCTTACCTTCTCTTTCTATCCTTGTATCCTGCTAGTGTTGAAGAACGGCATGTATTGTAGCCTTTATGAAGTTGTGGAGAAGTCCCGTTCTGGTAGTCACTTGGAGAGTTTACTTCAAAAACTAGAGAAAGAGAAACTTGTGAGTGCAACAGATTTGACTATTCCTGTTTATAAAAATAATTTTACTAACTAGTAATTGAGGTGTGCTACAAGATCCATGATCTCACTGGATTGGAATTCCTTAGCTGGCATATTCTTCAGTATTGTATCAGAGCACTTCTCTACCCATGATGGAATTCAGCTTACAGACAGTAAGAGTATTCATAGTGAGCAAATGTCTTTGTTTGAAACTGTATACTTTTTTTGCTTGAAAACAGGTTCTTGTGAAACCACTTCTGGACAGAGGATTTCTTTTTCTTCTTTCTCCTTGGCAAATGATGTCCCCTTATGGTACGCATATTCTGGGTTTTTTGGCTTTGAGTTGCTTTTAGATTTTTTTTTTTAAGAGGGTGGGGTTTTGAGTACTAGATTGTGTTTTGAAGCATAGTGGTCATCTTCTCAACTGTTTTTATATTCTTGTGTTCTAGACCACCGAACTGGACGGCCCGGCATGCTACATGCATTGTTTTTGTTTCCAGAATCTAGAGGTATAGTGAGCTCAAGTAAGTTTGTTCACTGTTTAGAGTGTTGTGTATGTGCTTATTTAAATGTAGTTTATATTCTTTTGAAGACTTTGTAGTGTTACAGCCTGTCATTGTAAACTAGGAATAACAGTTTTCATTGGTTGTGGTCGTGGTGATGGTGTTCAAAAAGTATTTCTTCACAGAAGTACTTAGCACACAACATATTTTAGGTTTGTTTGTTCATATTTGAGCAAGTAAAACTGTTCAAATTTCTTGATTATATATTCTAGTAGAACTGAGCATCAGTACTCCAAGAGATCTATGCATTATTAATAACATTGCACGTGAGAGGTTTGAGGGCTTTCTTTAACTACCAAAACATTAAGGAAGAAACATCTGAAAGTCTTTAATGTACCTGTAATTTTTTTTTTCTTGTGTTGAGATATGCACTAAAAACTGAGTAAATGTGCAAAGAACATATTGATAAGACCGAGTAATACAAGATGACTGAAAGGACTTAGCTTCAGTAGAACTTTAATGCTTTGGCATGAGGCATTAATCTTTTACAGTTGAAATTTGCAGTAAGTAGTACCAGCAGCAGAATGCAGTCCTTTTTGGCCTGCTGTGAATTAGAAGTGATATTGTCAAAACATAGCTCTTTCCAGGTATTCCACTTTTACAAAGAAGCTTTTGCCCTAAGTCTCTTCAGCTTCCTAGATTATTATCTATATTATTCTGATAAACCCCTTACGTTTTCCTTACTTAAGCAACAGTTGGGAAAATTCAATCAGTTGTAGCTTGGGTAAGAGGAGATAAGATCTAAGATGACATTTAAAGTGTGTGCATGCCAATTGGTTAAAAATACTCCAGTCTTTCTCTTAGGATCCAGTGAGTTTAGAAGCAGCACAGTGAATGGATTGGGACTGCATAGGAAGGAGTAATGCTTGCCCTCTTCCTTGCAGGGAGCTGTTAGGCTGCTGCTTTGTAAACCTTAGCAAGCCTTTGAAGCAGCCTTTTTCTAGAAGGGTCAGTCAAGTGGATATGATAATGATTGGAAATTATATGTGTATCTAGGATAGAGGTTACCACAAAATTATGAAAGTGAGCAGTTCATCATGACTATGAGTAGGCTGACTTTTAAGTAGGCTTTAAATCTGGTTACTTGACAAAGAAAATTTTCCTGACTTTGGGTCATTTCTCAACATTTATTCCAAACAGTTTCACCAAATATGTATAATACAGAATATTGCTAACTAGTCATCATTTATTTATAGCTTTATGATTTGATTTTAATTGTGAATTCCCTTTTCTCCTATGGCAGCACAAAAAAGTGTTCCATTTAGAACACAGAAAAATTCAACTACCTTGGTTTTGCACGGAAATCGGGAAATCATTCCAGAATTCACAAAGTTTATTCAGGCTCTACATTTTGCTTTAATCCAGTCTCGTAAAGACACTACTGCAGATTTCAGTGCTGTTGTGGAAAAGTATATAAATGAGTATTTGAAAAGATGCTGTAGTGGCTCTGGAAAATATAGAGAATTTGTATTATATCGGTATGAGTCACGGTTGGATGAAAAAAAAATTCTTTATTCTGCTCCAAAAAATAAATCTCATATTGACAGCTCCTTGCAAAACTATATTTTTGGTTGTGAGGCATATCAACTACCTGTTTCTAGAGCTAAGGAATTGATGGAGGGAAATCGGAAACTTCAACAGTTCAGTCCCATCTCAGATTATGAAGTCACAGAAGACGACTCTGACTTTGCCAACACAAAAAGTGGGAAAAGAATCCATGCAAAATATGAAGCCATTGCTGCCAAACGAAAACTGTCTCATTCTGGAGATTATGATCCCGATAGACTCAAAGAACTTATTAACTTAATCCAGTGTAGGAAAAAAAATGTAGGTGGAGATTCTGATTCTGAAGACCCTAGAAATAAAAGTGGTATGAAAAGGAAGCTGGAAAAACAGTCTGAAAATTTGCGGAAATACTTAAAGATGAGTGAATCATCAGAGAACAGTTGTCATAATGAAGGTAAGAACATCTTTGTTTAATCTTCTTTAAACATTGTAATTCAAAGCATACTTAACAGTTAATCTTTATTGACTGAATATTTTTTGTGTACTGGGATACTTCAGTGCATGGTAGTTCATTTAAACAGTGGTCTGAGATCTGTCAGTAGAGATGAAGTTTATTTTTACATAGACTGCCTCTTTCTAGGAGACAAGTTAACAGGAGTTGATGCTTTTCTTCTGCCTCTATGGAAAGAAGGCAGACTTCCAGAGAGTTTGCTTAGCGGTGGAACTGTCCAGAGACTAATACAGAGTACTAAGCAGACTTGATACTGTAATGTCTTTTGCAGAGTTTGACTTTAGGCATTGCTGTAATTCTTGATGGCTCCAATACCATATATAATACCTAAAAAATTAGATTGAAGGGAAGAGTTAAGCTTCTAAGCATGAGCACAGTTAAGTTTTGAAATAACCAGTAATGTGTGTAGTGGGACAAAAGAAACAACCCAGTAGTATTAAGATTGAATTATTCTGTATGTGAAACTACCTAAACCCAAACCTCAGATACTTATCACAGATATTGTCTGATACTTACTTAAGATCTGCCAAACAACCCCCCTTGAATTCTGTTTCCCTCACCCTTTTCTCAAGGCAGTGACATAGGCCTCCTTCAGAAGGGGGAGAAGTAGGGAGAAGGGTGGCAGAAAGAAGAGGGGGGTGTACAGCAGGCAGCAGTCATTCTCATGTGTACATGAATCGGTTTGGTAGATGAAGAGGCTGATCTTAGCAGTAAGTTTCCCTTTTGAGAGGGACAAAAGATACTGGCATGTGTGGATGGAGGAGACACAAGGTGTAGGCTACATGCTAGATCTTGGGATTCCTGCTTGGAAGTCTGTGAACCTTCAGGATCTTTTTACATTGGTTATTAAAGTAGAACATGTGACTGCTTTTCTACTTGGCTGCAATTAGAACAGTATCTGTTTAAAACTAAATTTTGGCTTAACTCCTGTAGGGGTACCAAAACAGCAACATCTATGGTTTGAATTCCATGTTTTTATATAACCCCCAAAGTAATTTGTTTGTTTTGCAGAAAGTCTTACCTAAAATATTGTGAGCTTAAGTATCTAAACATGATTAGGTTTTTATTAGTCAAACAGCACTTACATGGAAATACGGAATTATTTATGATAAATGAATTAGGGTTTCATCAGATACTTAAAGTAGTTCCTTGGCCCATCTCTTCCCAAAAGGTAGAAGTACCTGTGGTATTTATTCATCCATAGAAGAGTAAGCACCCTGTTCTAAAGTTATGTTTAGTCTAAATAGATATGGTGAAGTTTCAGCATTACACTTAGTTTAAGACAACATACGTGGTTAAGCATTAAGATACTAATCAGCTTCTGGAGCACCAGTGATAGGATGAAGTAAATATTTTGCTCAAACTAATATTTTTCTCTCAGCAAGTGATGGAGAATATTACAAGGTTATCATAAAATTCATAGATCATAGTATGTGACTTTTATTAAAACACAAAATAGCATGGTATTGAGTGACCTAAAAAAGGGTGATTATTTATCGGGGGGAGAATTAGCTTTAGAAACCGTCCTTTTATCAACATCTACCTGTTTAAAGATTTCTGTTAAGAAAATAAATGTATGTGTACTGTATGAATTGATGCTAAAAAAATCAGACTGTGGGTGTGTAGCAGGTGTTTGTGTGTGTGTGGGGTGTCTGGTTTTGCTTTTTTAAAAAAACTTAGTAATGGATTACTTTTCCCCTCCTCCCCCTACTCTAAGGGGGCAGAACCTCGGATTCGCCACACTCTGTTTTCTCAATTAATACTGGTCTTGGTGGACACGATACTGACTTGAGGCAGCAAGATGTATCCGACGCTGCTGTTACTGACACACATGGCCTCATTAAACTGCTTTTAGAAACACTAGCTAGTGCAGGACACTTGGATTCATCGTTGGCACGGTCTGTAAATCAAGCTTTAGGAATAAGCACTGATGAAATTGAAGAGGATATGAGACAAAAATATGAATATGAATCCATTCCAGCACAGGACAAAGATGATCATGAGCTTCCTGATACTGCTCAGGCTGAAAATGTTAACTTTAAGGACCCACAGAGCCCAGTGGTACTGGAAACTGATGTGACATGCTTACCCTACCCTGTTGATGTTGATCTGCGGCTTTCAGCAAATGAAGTAGGCATTGAACACACGCTACATTTAAAAGTAAGTGAAACTGCCATGTAGGTAGGTGCTGGTAATGAATGTACTATTTTCATAAATATTATGAGACTAAATGAAAAAAACACTCTTATTTTTTTAACATATGTATGCATAGATAAACACAAACTTGTCTGTGAATAAGCTTTTCTGTTTGGTAGGAGCATATATGGAAAATTTCTGAACTCAGAGATGTGTGTTCCTCATTCTTTATGTCTGCTCTTTCTGTAATAAAATTATAACTAAGAATACTTCAAAGATGGAAAGCAACCATGGTCAGTCTTCCTCACTAGTTTTACAATAAGTGTCATATGCTGCTGCTCCAGCAACAGGCAGCAAAACTTCTGTCATCCCCTTGCCGAGTGCTGTAAATGAGGGTGTTTTTTCATCTTTGCTGAGACCAAAGCCTTGCAGTTGTCTTCTACCTCTTGTAGAAAAAAGATGCTCTATTCTGGCTCTCGCCTTGTTTATAGTGGTAGGGTTTTTTAGTAATCTGTCAAATTGTTGCATGGAACAAGTACAGCGTTACTGTAACAGCTTGCATATTGTCTGCCATCTTCTTCCTTTCGGGGGTAGCTCTTGGTCTGGCTAGGATATTGAGGTTTGCTGAACCTGAAACACAGTAAGGAGAGATTTGAGTGTTCCTCATCATAGTTACTGCCTAGCTGTTACTCTTCCTAGAAGCAGGTTACAAGGCAATTGTTGCTGTTCCATATGAACCCTCTTGGCAGTGGTTGGAGCGCAGGCCGTTAATGTTTGTGTACTACTTACCCTTTAACTTTATAGACCTGATAACAGGTTTGGATATGGCAGCTTGTCATGATTATGAAATTCCATCTCAGGCACAGAAATGAGCCTTTTTTTGACCAGGCTCCTCCTAGATCTGATCTGAGACAATCTCTTTCACAGCTTATGCACCCAGAATTCCTCCCTCTTCTCCCCCCAAATGCAAACCAAAAATAAATATATTGGTTGTAGGCTTTATGGTTTCAAGACTTTTTTTGACCTGTAGTTTTCTTGTCATAAGCAAGAAAGTGAAAGAAGTCAAAATGCAATCTGTATTTGATTTTTAGAGTTGGTTGGAGGTGTCTTAAGAACGTTTACTCACAGGTGATCCATAGTTACTCTAGACAAGCAGAATGAGAGCTGTTTCCTTTTAAGGATAGCTGACTCTCTTGTCTTGATAGAACAGATCAGCAAAATTAAGTCGATTGTCTTTGGAAACTAAATATGCTTTATGGGCTCTGGACTATTATCTTAAAAACAAAAAGTCCCAATGGTAACAGCTTACCACAGCTGACTGTTTCTGTGTGTGAGTTAGTTACCTTTTCTAGTGACATTACCTCAGGGTTAATAAGGTTATTCTTACTGCTTTACAATCAAGCGTCCTTTTGCTCTAATTGTAGTTTTGGGAATGGGTCTTGGTCCAGCCCCTTCAAAGTGTATTCTATCTCCTACTGAATAGTAGCAGATACTTTATAGGGCAGGAAAGCACTCCTCACTTTTGTGCACAAGTGAAGATCCTGAAATCTTCTTTCAGTCTGGTACAGTGGAAGAGATGACAGGCTTGTCTGTCCCTCTAGCAGTGTCTGAGTGAGAAAGTGTTCAGAAATGTGCATAGTGGAATGCAGAGTCTTAAATGCTCTATGGATATTAAAGATGGTTGGGGAATTGGCTTTATTTAGTTTTGGCAGGAGCAGAGGTGAAAAGTTCTGAGCGCTTAAACACGTGCCTAGCTCTCTTTCTGTGCCCTCTTGGTGCAGTGGTGTATACGTGTTCCATGCATACTTTCAATGACAGTATATATATGGCAGAACACCATTTGAAGAAAGGCTCTCGTGGTTCAGGTTCAGAGTACCCCAGCTGCTTGCTCAATCACGTTGCTATATAGCGTGGTTGTTCTGTCATCTGTTACTGATACTCCGACATAAAGGCCAGTTTCCAAGTCGTGGAGCCGGAGTTTGTCCTACTGTGCTGTTGTTTCTTACCATCTGGAATATGAAATGAAGTTGGATTGTTCACGGGCTTAGTACTAGTTGAAGGCAGTTCCTCAGTAATGCCAACATCTCATGGCTGTAGTCTGCTACCAAGACAACAGCCTGAAAAAGGCTAAGTAGTACACAGTTTTCTTAATTTTTTTTTCCCCTCTTTGCCTCCTTTCCTCCCTGCCCCACTCATCTTCTATACACTAAGGCATATGCTCAGGACTGTGTTATTTATTTAATGATGGACCATCAGCAGAGACAACTGTCTCAGAAATTGTCAAACAGGTAAATGAAATACATAACTACCTCCTGTAAACATTTCCAAGTTTGACTTGATTGACAGCAAAATTACCAGTTTGGAGGTAAACTCAGGTGCATTCTTACTGTCAGCTCTTCAGAATGTAAAAGCTAAATAGCTACCAAAAAAAAATAAAGGTTTTGAGTTGAGAGTTTGTATTGTTTTTTTAGGAAGCAAGCACTGGAAGCGTAAGTAATTTTGAAGACTACATTCCCTGTCCTAATACACCTATAGAACGTGTTTATCGCAGGCAACATTCCAACTCCAATAATATAGAAGTTGGAATGCACTGGAAACTTATTCCAATTACAGGTAAGATGGGTTTAACTCTTATGTTGTTGCAAATAGTGAATGAAAACATGTTGTAAAGGCTTGTATCTTCCATAGATCCTGGTCCTGGGTCTCATGTTGGCATGCAAGCATATGTATAGCCTATGCAGTGTTTCTGATATTTGATTAATACAGAAATCTGCTGGATGAAAACAGGCACTGGTGCTGAATATTGCTTTGGGTATATACTGACATAATTTAGAAATGGGAATGTTTGGGTATTTGTCTGGTGAGGTGTGCAACTGTTTGGAATTCAGTGTTTGAACTTGGTAGGTTCTGCTGAGAGAATGGAAGAGCCAATAATTGCAACTAGTAATCCAGAAAAGTTATGAAAAATGTGTTCTCCTATAGAAGATTGCTAAAAATTGGTATGCAACTCATAAGCTGCATTAAAATATAAGAAGTTATAAAAACAGTATAAGCCATAGTATAGCTTTTAATCATCTTACTAAGACTTGATTATAGTGCCATATTTCTTGATTACAGTAGTGATGTACCTTTTAAGTGTTGAGCAGCTCAAGAAGAAAGATATATAAGATATTCTTAAGTACCTTGTATCTCAAACAAGCTTAAAGTAGATTTACTCTGCTAACATTATCATTTGGTACTGAGTTCTTGAAAGTCTGTTAAAATAAATATACATTGTGTATGCAAAAGGTATAGATCAACAATGAAGGCATAGGGCAACAGAAAAAAGGTGCCAGTAAAATAGGATGGAGCTAATTGGAATAACCTGATTTATATCTGTGTTTAGTGCTTTTAAAGAAAACTAGAAATTTGGGTTGACTCAAGGAGTGTACTTCAAAGGATGAAGAAAAAATGTACAGATTAATTGATAAGGAAAAGAAAATGGAACCACGTTTCCAGTGTCTCTGTATAACTCTAGTGGCATAAAATAATGATGAGGTGATACTGTCACCTTGAACAAGGGATCTTGTTAGTGGCAGATATTTTCCTTTTACATCTGGATGGACCTGATCAAATTAGGGACTGAATATAAATTTTTGAACTGGCTACAAAAATGGCTGCATTCCAAAAGAACACTAGCTTTTAGAAATTGTCTGTACTATTATGGTTATTGCTTCTGTTCCAGAAATCTGGTTTTCTGCTTATTAACTGTATTAGCTTTAACAATAATACAAGACATAAAAAAACCACAAAAAATCTCAAACAAAACCAACAAAGAAACGCAGCTTTGAAGTATTGATGGAACAGATCTATACTCAAAGATCTGTGTATATTTGAAATGTCTGTGTGTATATATCATTAATTGCAACAAAGTGTTAAATTTGGTTTAAAAACAAACAAAACCATAGTTTTGAAGGTGGATGGTGAAGAAACTGAGTGCTGCAGAAATGATCTGAGGTTTGGATTATGAGAGGCTTTCAGCACTCCTTGCAGCATAACTGGTTCCGTGTATCAGTAATTACCGTAAGACTTACGTCCTACCTTTTTAAGCAAAAAAACTGTTCTCAGTTGTGAGATCAGGCATGCAGCTTGCCATTTGCAGTCTAACTCCACAAGGCAGTGTGTGCCTAAAATAAGCCTTTTGGCAATCTGAGGATTATAACCTAGTAGCGAATGAAAATATTTGAATAAGTTGTCACCCTGTTTGAATTCTAATTTGATTTTTTTTTTTATCATAATTAAGACAGTTCCTGTTATGCTTAATCAGACATTATCTCTGGGAAATTTAATTGTGCTCTGCTTTTTGCGTAAACTTGATTGTTCTCCTGTCTTAGGAGCAATTAAATTTTCAGTGCTTCTGTACCTAAGCAGACAGTAACACTTGAGTCTTTGGATTTAAGTTGTTTGGTGGGGGGAGGTACAACAGTAATGCTGTTTTAAAACTGTGGTTTTAGTATATTGGTTGTGTATGACTTTCAAACATGAGATGGTGATGATTAACTCTTCCTATATAGGTCTGAAATCACCAGAAGAACCACTGATCTATTTACCACCAAAGGATGCCTGTCCTAATGACCCCCGGGTAATAAATAGACAGAGAAGTTCTGATTATCAGTTTCCATACTCTCCATTTTCAGACACACAAAAGACAGCAGAAGATGGACTCTATACAAGACCAGTGGAGAAACTCGAAGATCAGTGTGGGCTAGCAGATCACCCTTTCACAACTAAGCATTCCATTAGTGCAGTAATAGAGACTACACTATTAGAAGAATATAATCTCTTTGCAAGTAAGATCCAAGAAATTTTGAAGCAAAAGAATATTGCTTATGTTAGTGGTGTTTCCACACCAGTCTTCTCTGCCCGAGAGAGGATAACAAGACTTTCTGAATACATATGTTTACAGGCATCAGAGGTTTCTGTCCAAGAGTATATAGAGGCACTGAGTGAAAAGTTGAATAGTGTTATTTTGTCTTCTTCGTGCACTAGGCATACTCCACCCATTTATTCTAGTCCTGAATCTGCAGAAGTGCTTAGTACCGCTGCCCTGAATCCTCCACCCAACACATTACCTGTTTGCAGGGACTCTGACATGGCGTTATCATCAGAGCCATTGTGTAATAACGTGGTAGAAGATCTGGATTCTAATGAGCAGCATTCTTCAAGCTTACCCTTAGGGAAGGAGGGAATAGATGATGTGAATGCTAAACCGGAAGATACGCTGACATCTGATCAGACCTCTGCCAGTGGTGATGTGATGGAGCCACCAGAAAAGCCACAGAAATCCCCAGAGAACTTAAACATTTCAACCCAACCGGGTCTTTCTGATTTTATAAGCCAGTTAAAGCCTGAAGTATTTAACAGTTTGGTCAAAATTATTAAAGATGTACAGAAAAACACTGTGAAATTTTATATTCATGAAGAGGAGGAAAGCATTCTTTGCAAAGAAATCAAGGTAAATATGTTCCAGTTCAACCTCTCTATAGTGTTAAAATAGAATAGAGTGCCTTTCGAATCAGAATGTACAAAACTGGACTTGGAAACACAAGGTAGTCTGAAATTTGTTTCAAAAATGTTCTATTGTGGAAGTG